GTGTGTGTGTGTGTGTGTGTGTGTGTGTGTGTGTGTGTGTGTGTGTGTTTCTCTGTGTGTGTTGTGTGTTTCTGTGTGTGTGTGTGTGTGTGTGTGTGTGTGTGTCCCTCTGTTGCCGTGTTTTGTTCGGTGTGCATTTAGGAGAAGTGGCCTAGCTCAGTTGGTACACCCACGAACTGTTGAAATGAAGACCTGAGTTCAAACCCCGATGGAACCAGATGACTGAAAATAACACTGAATTTACCTGGGCCCGGTCAGGTCCTCAAAGATGGTACCTGAAGGCCGTCGCCCTTTCGAAAAAGGGAATAATGGAAAGAAGTTAAAAAGTACTGACACCGTAGTGGAAGGAAGGACTTATCAATGCGACTTTTCTGATGAGAGCAGTCCGAGTGTCACGCAGTGGTAAAAAGTAAGTGTCACTGTGGTAAATTTAAGTGGCGACAACGTAGTGGAAAGAAAGGCGTATCATATAAAACCAGCAGCGTTCTGATCAGTGCAGTAAGTGGGTGTGAAATGGAAAAAGAAAAAGATCAGCACTTAGGAGGAGGAGGGTGTCATGCCCTTCATCAGCTGCCATAAGGAAAAGGGGAGTGATCATCAGAAAGACGACCGAGCAAGCAACAGGATCAACTAACACATCCACAAAGGGAGAGGCCTTCTCTCCTTCCGGTCAGCTAACACATCCACAGAGTCAGCAACCGCAGGATGTTAAGGATGTTGAGGTCTCTGTGTAAGTAAGGATTGTTGACACAGAGTAAGGATAGAGGATTGGGGGGTTTAAGTATGTTGAGGTCTAATCGAGGTTGCAGGATGCCAAGGAGGGTGTTGAGTTCTGTGTAGATAGAGGCCTTCTCTCTCCTTCCAACCAGCCAGCCAGCCAGCAACTGCAGGATGTCAATTTGTCAAACCACCTCTCCGAAGGCCCCCGGACTGTTCATTTTTTTTGGATTAGTAGAGAGGTTCGGTGGGGAAGGGTAGCACAACTATTTTTCGGTGGGGAAGGGTACCATACTTATTTTTCCTCACGTTCTCGGTGGGGAGGGCTACGGTAGGACAACTATTTTTCCTCACGTTTTCGGTGGGGAAGGGGTAGCACAACTATTTTTCGGTGGGGAAGGGGTAGCACAACTATTTTTCGGTGGGGAAGGGGTACCCCAACTGTTTTTCGGTGGGTAAGGGTACCACACCTATTTTTCTCACGTTTTTGGTGGGGAAGGGTAGCGCAACTGTTTTTCGGTGGGGAAGGGAACCATGACTATTTTTAGGTAGGGAAGGGTACCACAACTGATTTTCGGTGGGGAAGGGTCCCATAACTATTTACCCTCTCGTTGGTGCATTGTGGATTTCAGGCTCGGGGAACTAAGTTAAGAAATAGCAATGAAAATGAAATTTCCATAGTTTTTAACAGCAGACTGAAAAAGCCACCTACAGATGCTTTACGCCCAATCATTCCGGATAACGCTTGCATCCTCTGTCTTACCGCGGCTGCTGGCACAGAAATGCAAATTTGGTTTTGTCAAACAGGTCCGGATGGAGTTGTGGTACCCCTTCCCCACCGAAAACGTGAGGAAAAATAAGTGTGGTACCCCTTCCCTGTGTAGGGATAGAGGGTTGGTGTGGGCCAAAACAGAACAGGCGCACAGAATAGTCGAGGATTGGTGTGGGCCAAAACAGAACAGGCGCACAGAAGAGAGTCATGAGTTTAGGGATTAGAACAACAAGCTCTTGTGAAAAAAAAAAAAATAAAAAAAAAATAAATAAAATAAATCCACAAAAAAACTATGTTATGCAGAAAAATAGACTGAACAACTTTTGCCTCAGGGTCACATCGAAATTCTTACTAAATTCAAAACACAAAATAAATTTTAACATATATATATTTTTATTTTTATGTTTTTTAATGTTTGTGGCCCGGCCGGGCAAGTGACCCGGGGCCACTCTGGTAGCCTAGGCTACGAGTCTTCTAGTTTGAGAGGAATGGAAAGTCTAGAAAAGATCCTTTGAGCATTTCTGATGTAAGATAGATATATGGTTGTACATTATTTTCAAGCTACTGGATTGCATGGCTGTCATGGCTTCCCGATCGCAGAAGAGTAGCTGGATTGTCAGAAAGTGTCAGGGAGTGGATGGTTGTCAGAAAGTGTCAGAGAGTGGGTAATTGTCAGAAAGTGTGAGAGAGTGGATCAGTGTCACAGATGGATGAAGAGGATGATGTTGATGTTGATGATGATGGTGCTGATGAATGTCAGAAACTGGATGATGATGATGATGATGATGATGATGATTGTCAGAAACTGGATGATGATGATGATGATGATGATGATGATGATGATGATGATGATGATGATTGNGATGATGATGATGATGATGATGATGATGATGATGATGATTGTCAGAAACTGGATGATGATGATGATGATGATGATGATGATGATGATGATTGTCAAAAAGTGGATGATGATGATGATGATGATGATTGTCAGAAACTGGATGATGATGATTATCGTCAGAAAGTGGATGATGATGATGATGATGATGATTGCCAGAAAGTGGATGATGGTGATGATGATGAGGATGATGATGATTGTCAGAAAGTGGACGAGTATTGGAGAGTGGATGACCGCCAGATAATGGATCTCAGGATTGTTAGTGGAACATTCCACGAGCACCCTGACAGAAGTGACGTATCGCAGAGTATTAAGTTCTCCTGTTGGTAGACTGATTGGTTGGAAAGATTATGGGCCTCGCTGCGAGACCACTCTCTCACCGCATGTGAAAAGACAAAAGCTGTGCAGGCTGCATCTTTCCCCATTCTACGCAATATTCTTTCTCCGCTTTGCACACATTCGTCGAGTACTTCGCTGAGGGCGCTTATGGTATTTATATGCCTGAATGAACTGATGACTCTCATCCAAACTACACCCCACTATAACCGCACACACTGTATTGATGGTTGTTCCCACGAATGAACTGATGACTCTCAACCAAACGACCTCAGGAGTTGTATAACCGCACGAGAGAGTTCTCTTCCGCAGTTTCGTTTTCCGTTTTGGTGCAAGCCGTGTCAGTTGGGTAGCCATTTTGGAATTCCGAGTCTTTTTTTTTTTTTTTCCCCTTGTTCTTCTCTTACCCCCCCAACTTTTTTTTGGTTTTTTTTGTTGTTGTTGTTTTTTTGCTTTCCCTCCTTTCCCTCCAGTCTTTTGCAATTCCGAAATATTTCGTTCGACTCATTGAGTTCCATCATCATCTGGATTCGAACTGGGGTCTGTATTTCAACAGATCAGGGGTGTACCCACTGAGCTACCGTTTCGAACTGGGGTCTGTATTTCAACAGTTCAGGGGTGTACCCGCTGAGCTACCGTCTTCCCCCGAATAGAACGTACGGTCATGATAGCTGTATTTGGCTCACGTTTCTGTCCAGGTGCAGCGAAAATGACCGTGCGTTCTATTCGGGGGAAGAAGGTAGGCTCTTGGGTAAACTCCGAGCACTTTGGCTCCACTAATGGTTAATAGGTGGTGTCATTTTCGGCGAATTTTTCACCGAAACTGCCATATTTCTCTGAATTTTTGATTTTTTTCGTTTCTTTTTGTGTGTGATATCTATATGCTTTAGAGTATATCATCGAGTTTCAACGTATTTGGACCAGTAACAAAAAAAAAAAGGGTGGCAAAAACACTGAATTCGGAGAATCATTTGACGAACTCCGAAAGCTACTCCGAATAGGGTTTTATAGTGTTTTTGATTTTTCTTCTTTTCTTTTTTTTTTGCCTGTTTGATTTTTTGATGTTTGTATTATGATCCTGCATTGTTTGTTTGCGAAATGTTTGAGGACATTGTTTGTGGTGATGCGGCGAAAAACCGCGAATTTTGGGCCTTCCATTAACCATCTCTCTTTGGCTCTTGGAACTGGAAAGAACGTTTTCACACTACGACTCCCCTTGGATGTATGTGGCCAAAATTGCAGCTTGTCCTGCGTGCATCGGACTGCAATTCCGTCTACAGAGGATCTGAAAACGTCCTTGTACGAGTGTGCCCAGGGATTGGTTCTTTGTAGAACTGGAACGTTTTCAGAACCGAGAGATTGGTTCTCAGAATTGAGACTGCTTCTCGCACCTGGGTAGTTTGTGCAACTGAGGCTGAGGCGGAGCAACCCCCACTGGTCTGCTATTGGTTCTCAGAACAGAGACTGCCTCCTTCCTACGAATCGAACGTATATGGTCATTATATTAGCTGTACTTAGACTGAAAGATACCCCAAAATTCCCCCAAATACATACAGCTATAATGACCGTATGTGTATTCGGAGGAAGAAGGTGGTTCTCATAACTGAGGTGGTTCTAAGTAAGAACTGAGAGTGGTTCTCAGAATGGAGCCTGGTTCTCAGAACCACGACTGGTTCTCAGAATGGAGACTGGTTCGTCAAACTGAACAGAACTGGAAAGTCGGAGAGAGTGAAAGTCTGGAATGATGCTTGGTTATCAGAATTGGTTGGTAGTAGAGATCGGCGTAGATATGGACTGATAATAAGGATAGTAGGGTAAGGAGAAGGGAAGAGAATGGCGATGATGTTCTCCTCTCCTATCCTCTATATATACATGTGTAGTTGAAGTCCGGCCTTCAGCCAGCATGCACAAGAGCATTATCTGTACTCTTGGACATCGAAAGTTCCCTGTATTTTCGTACACACAGTAAATGTTTGCTAATTGTTGGCTCTATAAACAATCTAGAAGACCCTTCAAAAGTGAGTGTGTGTGTGTGTGTGTGTGTGTGCGTGTGTGTGTGTGTGTGTGTGTGTGTGTGTGTGTGTG